TTCTACAGTATCACCATTTGCAACATATAATTTACTCGGTTGAGAAAATTTTTCAAAACTTTGAAATATGTCTCTTCGGAAAGTTAGATGACACGTTGCACCATTGTCAAAAAACCATTTATCAGTGTACGCTGACTCATCAATTGCAAAAACACTTGATTCCATAACAACTAGTGACTTATTGTCATCGCGTAGATTGTTATTTCTTGGTTTTGCTGGTCTACCATCAGAATGCCATTTTTCACAATTTCTTACAATGTGACCTGGCAATTTGCAATAATGACATATCAGTCGCTTTGGTTTGCTGACAAATTTATCTTGTTTTTGACCATTCATGTTCAGTGATGATGACCTTTTAGTTGTTGCTTTGACAAATAATACTTTATTACATTCTGTTTTGCCTTCCAAAGATCTCTCATAGCTACACAGTTGATCTGTAAGTGTTTCGACTGTTCTTTCAGTCTTGATCAACAATCTCCAACTTGCAGCAAATGAAAAATATTTTTCTGGCAAAGTTTCAATTATTTGGCACATCAGCAACAAATCACTGTTTTCATCTTTTCCTAACTCAACCTTTAAATCTTTCCAAAGATTCTTGAGTTTTGTGACATGAGTGACAACATCATCACTTTCATCCATTTTATAACTAAAGAACTTCATGCACAAGTTGTATGCTTTATCTTCATTAACTTCATCATACAATCTGTGAAGTTCTAACCAAACATCTCTGGCATTACTGAATGAACGAACTTTTTCATACGTTTCATCGGTCATGTTGGTTGACAGAACAATCATAGCACTACAATCTGCTCTGTTGAATCTGTTCAAAGCAGTTTGATATTTTGCTATCTCATCTTTATTTGAGTCATCGTTCAATTCATCTGGAACTTTCAGTTTGCCATTTACTACATCCATTGCATCAGGAATGCCGCGTAGTATTATACAAACCCTCGACTTCCAGTTCAACCAATTACTTTTGCCTTCTAGGTGTTTGATTTGCACTTTTGTTAAATCCATTTCTTCCTTGTCTTTTCAATTTGACCTTTTAATTAGAAGCAAAATATCGATTTTCAGAGAATGGAGAAGCACGTGCTTTCTCTTCACTTCAGTCTTCACTAAGGAATCTTCCGATATTTCTTTATTCTAAATTTTCTTCGTCAAATCAATTAATTAAGAAAAACGTTATCTGGGCCCATAACCTGTTAAATTTCTTGTCACGTAGATCGTTTAATTAATTGATATAATATTGAAAGACATTAAAAGAAGAGAAATAAACCAAGCAACGTTCTCGACTTGTTTATTATCCACCGGATCAACAAAAAAAAGGAAAAGTGAAGTTACATACAAAGCAAAGAACATTGGGTCCAAAGAAAAATAAATGTATATAATGTTTTAATATAAAACAAAACTCAACATTTTAAACATAATTTTTCTTTCAAAGAAAAGAAATCGAAACGTCATTGGCCCGTTGCGACGTGTGAACGCAAAACTCGGACTCAAGGAAATGAATCCATGACTATGGTTATGCAAAAAACCGTCGAAAGAAAATTTTAACTTTCGTTATTCTACTTCAATAATTTTTTCTCGATTTAAAACTGACATTTGTGTTTTTAATCTATTTTTGCTATTGTTAACTTTGAAAAGTTGTTTAACTGTTTTAAAATATACCTAAGCTTGGATATTGTTTGTTATATTTACTTGGTTAAAACCGTTAGATTCGTTTTGATTATTAAAAATATTAGTCTGATATTTTTTGAAATTTTTTTTACAGCATTTAATCTTCAACCTTACAGTTGTTAAATTTGTAAACATGGACTTACCGAAGTATTTTCATTACTGAAATTTCTTTACTCAAGATACACAATGATAGACCAGTATCCAAAGTAAAGTAGACCAGTTTGTGTATCTTGGCAGTCTTATAACCTGTGACAACAACTGCACCAAAGAAATTGACAGAAGAATAGCAATGGCCCATGGAATGTTTGTATCATTGAAGGGAATATGGAAAAGTGGAAATATATCTATAAAAACAAAATTGAAAATGATAGAATCTTGTGTTTTTCCGAGCTTGCTTTATGCATTTGAGACATGGAAATTAAAAAAAGAGACAAAGACAGATTGGAAGCATTTGAGAGGAAGTGTTAGCGAAATTTGTTGGGAATCAATTGGAGGCAGAAAGTAAAGAACGAAACCACCGATATCAACTCGGAAGACAGAAAAGCAGAAATTTCTGATGGAGAAGTTATATGAAGTTAATAATAATGTGCAGAACAATGTGGAGTTTGCTAATTTGGTTAGTATATGTATTACATTTCTTTAGACATGCAACACCATATTTTAATAATTTTTTAATTTAGGTGGATCATTTATGCACACTTGGTGGACAGAATGTAAAAGATTGTGTGCATCGAATGATGAAAGCATTAATGACGCACCAAGTCAGCCTCAACATTACATGGATGGGCCAGAAAAAAGAAAAGGAGGGCTGGTCAAGACTTCTACTTCGAGATGCCCTGATTAGTCAGTATTTTTTCCTGTTTCAAAAATTAAAATTTCTATTTATCTATTTTCTAATAATTAACGTTTTGTTTATTGTCTTTTTTTCTAGGATTAGATTTAGATTTCAATGTAATCAGTTTATTTTTCATTAACTCCTCCAGATGCCATACAAAAAAATCCAAGGACTGG